TCTCTCTCTCTCTCTCTCTCTCTCTCTCTCTCTCTCTCTCTCTCTCTCTCTCTCTCTCTCTCTCTCTCTCTCTCTCTCTCTCTCTCTCTCTCGCTCGCTCGCTCGCTCGCTCCTTCCTCCCCCTCGTCGCTACCGCTCTTCTTCTACACTTCTCTCGCTCGCGCGCGCTCTTTCGGCACGCAGAACGGCTCCCGTCGGAATCCTCAGTTGGTTCAACGCCGTCACCAGTCGCACGCGAGCGTACGATCGTAGCCGATACGTTTCTCGCGAACCTGCCGTCGAACGTCGCTCAAGCACGGAGCCTCGTCTCCCGGCGTGCGTGAGCGTCGATTCGCGCCTCGCCTGGCATCGCTCGGTTCGATCCCTTGTGCCTCGATCGAGTATCAGTTTGGTGGTGAATGTGTCGAGGAACCGCAGTGTTCTCCAGAAAGGGTGAAAGGACAGCAGCAGCAGCACACTGACTCAAATTCGGCGTGAACCGCTGCGAACATTCGCTGAGCGAGGACATACGGACACGACAGACACGCATACATTCACGCAAATACACACACACATACATACACACACACGCACACACACACACATATTATATATATATATATGTAACACGTGCACGATCAGTGATAGTGCGAAGCGCAATCCGGCTCGTTCTTCTCGATTGCGCGCGAACGAAGTTTGGTGCTCACCTCGATCGGCGGTCACCGATCTTCGCCGACGGAGTTACGCGTGCGACCCCGCTCGATCGCGAATTTCGCCCAAGTTCGCAGGGCGGTACGGCGAACATGATGGATTCCGTGCCGGTCACGGCGTCGGGGTCGTTGACCCCGTCGCAGCAGCAGCAGCAGCAGCAGCAGCAGCAACAGCAACAGCAGGCGCAGAAGAAGGGAGTCTCGTTCGAGTTTTCGACCTCGCCCGATCTGGAGACCGGCTTCGAGCCGCAGACTCGAGCGCGGTCCAATACATGGCCGCTACCACGGCCGGAAGAGTACGTGGAAGGTAACGCACCGGTCGCGAAGGAAGGTGCCGAGGGCGGCACGCCGCCCCATCAGGCGCAGCTCGCTCAGGGTCTTCTCCCGGTGAAGAAGAATTCGTCGAGGAGGAACGCCTGGGGGAACTTGAGCTATGCCGATCTGATCACTCAGGCGATCACCAGCGCGCCCGATCAGCGGCTCACCCTCTCGCAGATTTACGAATGGATGGTCCAGAACGTGTCCTACTTCAAGGACAAGGGTGACAACAACAGCAGCGCCGGTTGGAAGGTAAAGTGAATTTTCGCGTCGCTCTCTACCTCTCGAGTTCTCGCGTTTAGCGAACTCCTGCCTCCGAGGCAGACCGAGATCGGGTTTGCCAAGATCTAATTTAAGTCACAACATTGAGATGCTTTTCCGACGAAACGTGTCTTCAGATCAGGGACGTGAACCGCAACGAGGAAACGTGTGCGCGATCATTTTAACGTTAAATCTCGCGGTTTCTCAAAGAGGCACTTTCGAGAGATGCACAGCGCAGAAACGCGCACGTGTGATTAAAGATAATGATTAAAAGCGATATCGGACGATGAAAGATCCGGGATGTCGGATGTTTAATTCTATTTTAATGATCTCGTGTCTCCAAGTAATTTATTATCGTTATATCAATTCACCAAGATGGAGTATCGAAATTTTTTTTTTTAATTGCATAAAACGTGTATATATCGAGTATATACATGTATATATCGAGGATTGCGCAATTTATATATACATATAGTGATTTTCGTAAATTCGATGATTCACGTGAAAACCGCCAAACGCGCTGTCCACGTTCTCAAAGTGTGATCGGTCAGAGTTTCATTTAATGCAAGAATCGCGCGATTTTTTATCACGGGACGAGGGAGTCGGGTAACTGAGTTCGAGGTAAAATACGCGGCATGAATGCGAGCCCAAGTCACACTCGGAGTCACGTTTACAGCGATATGAAGACTTCCGTTTCGTATGGAAACAATTGTGACACGCGACAGTGCGAAGGTTAGACGCGAGAATTCATCCGGCTGGAATTCGTGCGCACGTAACGACATTTTTTGATGATTCACGTTACGCGATTACATTACGGACGGACGTTTCAGACAGACGCCTGAGAAGAGCTTCTATTTCGTAATTGAAGCATTTTTAAACTTTTAGTAATATATTAAGCCTTTCTTCGGTAATATAACAGAAAATGAGAAAATATATTTATAAGTTTTTTTCTAATCGATTAATTTTTAATTTATGATAATCGATTCCGATTTAAATTTGATTAAAGTTTATATAACAAGCTGATTTTGAAAAAAGAAAAAAATTAACGCATGTTACGTGATTAATTCTTGTTCAGTTTAGTGTACTTTATTTCTAATCTCGACTTCAATTAATATTAGTTCAGTTAGTAAGAAGAAACGCGTGCGATATCTTGTCTTTGCAACAATGTAATTTTTACATTATTCGTTGATTGTAGAAATATATATTACTTATGTTCTCTTATGTTACACTTTTTTTAATTAATGGAAACGACTTTATCTTGAGTAGTTTGAAATTACGTGTTTTTCTTGATAAGGACAAGCTTATCAGAACGATAAAGAAGATTATACATTAAACGCTTCTTTCTTCTGCAACTGAACTTATTTACATAGATTACATGTTGTACGCGTTATAAGTTTTAAAATTGCGACATTGTATTTTTATTACGGCACAATCTTTCTTGAAAGATAAAGTAATAAGTCCATAATTATTACCGCAAAAATAATGAAATCGAAAAGAAATAACTGATTACGCTTGAAACAGAATTTTAAATCAATATGATAGTCCCATAAGTTATTAATTGCTAATTAATAACAAAATAGCTCGTATAAAACGACAGTTGATCTTTTAATGAAATTAAACGAATGTAACGCAAATACGAGTAGAACAAAATGTTAGAACTGCAAAGCGAGTGTTTATGTTGAACTATTTAGCGCGGCACGCATAATTAAAACGTTAATAATGCATTATAGTGTTTATAATTATAAAGCTCGAAGCTTCTGGCTCGACGAACTCGACGTTACGCATTGCGTACGACCGACGAAATGTTTTACGTATTTCGTTACAGTATGCCGCTAATTGGCTGCCAAATTCGAAATAATTCGATCTTGGAAGCTTGGAGTTACGCGTAATGCGTAATGGTTAATATTATCCTTGATCAATTATGTTTATCGTGTGTAATCTACTTTGTTTAGATAGCACCTCAAATTATGACAAAAGTAAAAAGAAATTCCTCTAAAACGAAAGAGTATTTTTTCGTCGTTTGTTTAATTTGACATTTATATTTCATTTCTTATAAGCATTCTTCAACTATTCAATGGCGATATTTGATATGGTAGATTTAATTCATTTCCCAAATTCTAAGATTTTAACAGTCCCAAGAATTGTCGAACTCGCGTGTTCTCCTTTCGGAATAAAAATAAAGGAAAATAAATAAAATAATAAAAATTTTTTTTCAATAAATTTAAGTAAATAAGATAATAGGAATTATACACAAATGTTGTATCATTTTTTACCATATAGATAATGTTTTACGATAATTTTTAACTCGACAAAGCTACATATTTGTCAACTAATATTTTCTTAAATAAAAAGTGCATTGTAAATGTAAAACTTTTGGCTTTATCACTGCTCAATTATTACAGTCCAAATAATATAAAGTAACGAAGTAATTAATATTTATTTACTTAATTACGCTACTATATTAATAATCTACTTAATTATTTATTTGGATTTTAAATTTATTTTATTGCAACTTTGATGTGAAGTGCGAAAAGATTACGAAGAAATGAAGAAAAACATTTTTTTTCCGTGTTAAACTTGCAGCTTTTGGCACTTATACTGTTTCTAATCCTAATTTATTATCTATATTCGGAGACACTTGGAAGATATTTCAAAGAAAAAAATCGATACTACTGCCGAGTCGTGACAATAACAATTAAAGTTAAATAAAGTTGTTTTGACATAGTTGAGCATCGGAGGAAGTTATTGCCGATTCACAGGTATCTAGGGTTAATAGCTTAGGTATAAGGGCCTTTTATACCTCTTCAGCGCCTAATGTGTCAGTTGACAAATGTGTTTTTTACGTTTCCCTCATCTCCGTTATTTAAATGAAATATTAGAAATGGCCGGTTAAGCACCTACGGCACTTAGCCGCTCAATTATCGTGTATTGAGTCGACGCGTCAAACTCGCGGCAAGAATTCGCGCTAAAAATCCACGGGAGGCGGGGACCGTAGTAGTTAGTAGCCGCAGCTGCGAACTTGCGGATGCAAGTCGCGCAGAGAGCAGCGGTAACGA